CCTGTTATCTTCCAGGGCCAGTGGCCAATAATTGAGCTTCCGTCATTGTGCCATTGCTATTGATTCTACGTCATATACTATTGATAAAGTCGACGTAGACCATTGTCTTTGTAATACATTGCTACCTGCTCATTGCAATTCATTTATCATTGAATATCATTGTATATCATTGAATATCATTGCATATTATTGCATAACATTGCATATCATTGAATATCGTTGTACCCATTATGTAAATACATGTGTACACTTTGCGTACATCATTGATTGAATATCATTGTTTATCATTGAATATCATTGTACCCATTGTGTTTTAATTATTCAACATACACTTTGTGTACATCATTGAATTGATACTTTATGTACATCATTGTAGAGATACCTTGTGTACATCATTGTATTTATTGTATTGATTTGACTATTGATTATATTGATGATTGATTTTGATTATTGATTGTATTGATGATTGATTTGTCTATTAATCAATAAAGCCATGACAAAAACTGCCAATCATTCTTAATCTATTTTGTCGACATAATCCGACTTAACTCAATATGAGTTAAGTCCCGTTATGGAGACAAATAGAGATAAAAAGTTCAGGGGAGATAACTCTCACTCAAATGCACTGACTTCATTTAGTCACATCATTACGCATGTGCATTTGCTCTACCTTTCCATCTTCCGTCATCCATTGAAACTCAGCATCCCACCCACCTCTCCCAATTTACAAGATTTTGATGAATTCTTCTTTTTTGTCAACAAAATGTTGCTGCTGTCTTTGATTTCCTTTTTCAGTTAACATCCATTCTCTTGGCTACCAGCAGAAGAATCCATTACATCCATTCCTTTGGCCACCAGCAGAAGAATCCATTACATCCATTCCCTTGTCTTCAAACAGAAGAATCCATTTCCGCCGTCCTTGGCTACCAGCGATAGGAACCATAACCTCAGTTCCCTTGGATACCAAAAGAACCTATTAGCGTCAGGGCTTTATTACGACTCATTGAAATGCAAAGTATATGGTCTTCTTACAGACTGTTTTTAAGGCTGAATCGAATTTTGCTAGAAGCTCGCTGCTGATCCTGTTATCTTCCAGGGCCAGTGGCCAATAATTGAGCCTCCGTCATTGTGCCATTGCTATTGATTCTACGTCATATACTATTGATAAAGTCGACGTAGACCACTGTCTTTGTAATACATTGCTACCTGCCCATTGCAATTCATTTATCATTGAATATCATTGTATATCATTGAATATCATTGTATATTATTGCATAACATTGCATATCATTGAATATCGTTGTACCCATTGTGTAAATACATGTGTACACTTTGCGTACATCATTGATTGAATATCATTGTTTATCATTGAATATCATTGTACCCATTGTGTTTTAATTATTCAACATACACTTTGTGTACATCATTGAATTGATACTTTATGTACATCATTGTAGAGATACCTTGTGTACATCATTGTATTCATTGTATTGATTTGACTATTGATTATATTGATGATTGATTTTGATTATTGATTGTATTGATGATTGATTTGTCTATTAATCAATAAAGCCATGACAAAAACTGCCAATCATTCTTAATCTATTTTGTCGACATAATCTGGTTTGGTATTGGGACACACCCCCTTGACGACCAGCTTAATCATCTTATCCATGCAATCCCCTAATTTCCAGTGCTTGGAATCCATGGAAAATTCCATATTTAATAAATGTATCTTCAACTTCAAACAGTTACTCGATCTTACCTCATGTAAACAAACATCATGGTTTCTAAATCTATGTATCAGTTATAACCTCCCCTCGCTTCTCATCACTTCCGTTACCGCGGTTGTTTTATTGCGCGGTAAATTTGAACTCATAAAAGCAACATATTTTTACATCCAAAGTTGTTTAATTATTTTAAAATTAAATTTTAAGAATTTTTTAGCCGAATTATCGAGTATAATCTGGTTTGGGTCAGTTTACGCTTAAAAGCGTAAACTGACCAAACCAGATTACACTCGATAATTTGGCCAAGAATTAGAGTAATTTCTTAATTCATTTTAATGTTGTACAGATTAAACGTAAGTCATATTTATGGTGAAAAATTACTATAAGATAAAATTTGCGTCATTTACAATCAAAATATGTCTTTCATTAGCTTCAATCAACATGTTTTTTTTTTCTACTGTTAAATGTGAACATTGCATTTACACTAATTACTTTGCATATTAACATTAAGATGAACAACAAAATTATCCCGAACAAACCAAATATCGTTCTCCTTAAAACAGTTAAATAATACAAAAACTTAATTAAATTATATAAGTTGTTACAGTAATTACAAAAACTTTGATTCAATATAATAAAAAAATTGGAACTTTGAATAACTATGACATAAACTTTGAAACTTTGACTTAGTATGGCAAAAACTTTGGAACTTTGATTTACTATGGCGAAAACTTTGGAACTTTGATTTACTATGGCGAAAACTTTGGAACTTTGATTTACTATGGCGAAAACTATGGAACTTTGATTTACTATAGTGAAAACTTTGGAACTTTGATTTACTATAGTAAAAACTTTGAAACTTTGATTTACTATAGTTAACTATAGTAAACTATAGTATTTTTGTTAGTGGCCCTCCCCCCCCCCCCCCGTATTTTACATGTAGATATGGTTATTTGTATCCTTCAAATGAAGTCATTAAAGATTTTCTCTAGCATGACAATGCTTAACTTCTTCAAATTTTGGAATTTAGATACTTTAGTCTTACTTTCCTCACAACATTGCCCTAGTGTAGCTTTGCAGAAATAATATTGTCAAAAACACCCAAATCTCTCCACACGAAATTTTTAATATGTTTGTAGACATTGTTTTCATTTTTCACATTCCCCTTCTAATTTATAAAATTATAATCATTATGGTTAATTCAGATACATGTAATCTCCATCACGCACCCCTCATGGAGGAAAGTGCAGATACATGCATAAAAATTAAAATCCATTTTTCAAGAGTTAACGGATATTGCTCATATTTTTAGAGTGAATGAGTGCTCAAACATAGAACGATCAGGGCGTAAAAGTTCAAATATCCGATTCAAATGACACTTCGACATATTTGAAAGGATGCTGTTGATCACACCTGTTGATATTGTCAGAAAAATCATTGATTTCAAGAGTTTTCCCCACATTTCAGGAAACTTTCGAAAATGTGTACCTGGCAAAAAATGTTTTGTTTTTTTTTAAGGGGAAGAAGGACATTTAAGCAAAACATATTGATTAAAAAATCGTTTATATTCATAATTTAGCAAATTCCTTCCTTTATTCTGAGGTGACATGCAATGTACCCACAATTAGAGATATTGATCATAAAAGTTCAAAAGAATACATGTATTATACCGCTGTATAAAATGCAGAGTAAAATTTCCTATAATTTAAGAAATGAATGTAATATTTTTCCTTTGATTGATGTATGAAAGAAATATTTGGATGGAAAACTTTATCAATGCGCCTAGAGCATTAAAGAAAAAGTTTTCCGTCCAAATTTTCTTTCATGCATAGATCAAAAGAAAAAATAATACATTCATTTCTTATCATTTAATTATGATATTAAATAGATAAAATGAAACTTTCTTTCCCTTTTCTTTTTAATTTATAAAAACAATACGCACGAATACATCACAACAACATTAACGTTGCTGAAATTCAAAATGGCTCAAACGAAGAAACGATTTCAAATATTGTCGTGTCATTAACAACATTCTCCGTTATCATTTACAGTTCGTTAACACAAAAAAAACTTAATTACCTTTAGTGTTATCCTAATTGGTATATTTTCCCCGGTAAGTTATCTAAGTTCGTAAATGGAAAGGGAAGCAACTCAAATATCCCAACAGTTCTAACATTAGATCAGAGAAATTTTCGATTTAATTTGCACAATTTTTTATCGGAATTTCTAACCGAACATATAAATACGTATCACAACCTGTCAGTGCTTCAAATCCTGAAAGAGTCTGCTGCCGACTGTTTAAGATTTATAAAAGAATTCCGTCCTCATTCATGCAGTGTCGTTTTTCCGGATCATTCGTTTCCCAAGATTTACCCGATTAACGTTTTTTCTCCGTTGTTCATACCAGTTATCTCAAAGTCAAACATTTGACAAAAGTATGTCGATTTCTTTCCTTCTTTTTCCCCAAAAGTGCATTGTTGTTATGCAGACGATTTTATTTGTTTAGCAAAGGAGGGTAATTCAAAAAGAAACGAAAGTAGAAAATAAGTCAGGAACGTAACGGACAGGTTTTGAAATTCAGGAAAATATCTATTAAAGTAAACGTATTTAATTATACCTTCAAAAAGGTACCTGGAAGCGGGAAATATATATGTACAGACAGCCAAAGTAGTTCCGACTGCTTCGTGCAAACGAACTCTAAATTTTATTGGATTTTTTTTAACAAATCAGACTCAGTTATTTCATAGAAATTGAATGATACATATAACAATGTCATGCCATCGAGAAGTCGATTTTCAAATACTTTATGTATTTTGATTGATGATAAATAGATGCACGTCAAAAGATTTGCATGGAAAAAAGATATTTTAAGTTTCCTCTTATTGCCATGTGGATTACATAATTATAATTCGAACTTTGTGTTACTTAACAACTGAAGATAAATGCCAGTTATTCTCATTACCGACTATATTTTTAAAAATGTTTTCAAACAACTGGCAAAACAATGAAAAATGACAAAATTAAAAAAAACAACCACCAAGAAAACCATTTATTAATTATTATCTATTAATTCCGCGGAATCACAATTTCTCTTAAATCTGCAAGTAGAAAATTGCGCGGAATTTTTTAGACTGTCACTTTATTCCTCGCATCTATAATCAGTACGATTGGACAAATTTCCGCGGAAAATGTGTGACTGCTTATATAGCATAAATTAATACCAAGCGGAAAAAATTACTTTTACAGTATTTTATTAGCTTTAGTAAGGTCTTAAGATTGACCATATATCTCAACTTCACAAACACTAAGGAAATCAGTTGGTCCGTCTTTTGATAAAATAGAAATAATAACACCACTCCCTCTCGTCTCCATTTCACACAGAAACAGGATACGGTCTCCATTGGCGGCTGGTCCCTGGTAAAAACCACACGAAACATTACGTCCATTGTCTATGACATCTACTCGAACCTCATGTAGTCGTTCCCCTGTAAAAAAGTATAATTTTAAGTAAACACAATTATTGAATAAAATTTTGCATTCTTTTAAATATCTTTTAGAAACAAATTTGAAAACTGCTCACCCGTAAAATAAAACTTAAATTAAAAGATGAATCTTAGACAAACACGCTTATAATTTATTTATTTCTTACAATGAGTGAAATGGACATGAGCAACATGGAGATCTTCCATGGTTAATTTTCTTTAAAATGGAAACCTTGCATTTCACTTACACGTTATAATCATAAATATTTTTGTACTTCAACATTAAAGTATTTCTTGCCACAGCAGTCTTGTCGATTGTAAATCAAAACTCTTTCCATGGTGCTTGTTTTGCTAAGACTGACTTTCAGCCATGGATTTGTCTGATTTTTCGTGCAAGCTAAGTTCACATCATTGTCTCGGCCTGTTACACATTCTGCTATTCCACACTCTACTGCATATGAAGCATGAAAGATGGCGTATTCAATTGCACCGTACTCTGAACTTAGCTGTCATTGCCAGTTTTTGTTAAATTAAAAACAGTAACATTAGTTAAAGAAATAATATACATACATATTCAGTTATTCAAAGAATACGTCTTAAGTATCTGCTTAATAATCATTTTGAACAAAGATGAATTTTCCATAAAATATGAAGGGAAAAATTATCATACATACACAATCTGTGTTTTAAGTGATATCAGATACATATAGATTATGCCCATGGAAGCTTGAACAAGTTTTAAACAATGTTGAAAGCAAACTCAAGCAAATATTTTATCCTTGAAAATGTCACCAGAATGAAATTATGCTCTCCTTTTATTTTTGAGCGTGTACATTTACTAGTTTGTTTTAGAAAAGTCCGTTTAGCACATTGTTGCATGTTTGATTAAAATATCATCTTATATTGATAAGCATACATCCCCCCAATACGTTTACCTAAAAAGTATCTAATGAATTATTCACTTTGGTCCTAGAAGAGACTGTCCAAAAAAAAATTACAATGTCGGAATTTATTAACAAAGTACTATTTAAATACAGTGTTGCGTCTTAGAGGGTATCTGAATACAAATACCCGTATAGAACATTTTCCACCCCATGTACTTTGCGCTCAAAAGTGTATAAAATATAATTGCAAATGCAAATGAGTTCAATGGACTTTTGTGGGTTTATTAAAACCCAATTGATGAAAATATATTTATATTAGTGCATTCATCTGTGAGAATCTATTTTTTTCCAATCAGGTCTGTACATGTGTACATAAATACATGTATGTAACTAATGTTGCTGCTCTACATGCATTTGATTTGGGTTGTTGTACCCTATATATACTTTGATATTATATGATAAGTGTAAAGCCTTTAGTATATACTTGACATTTAGTTAATTTAGCAACATGTACAATTTGTTTTTATATTTATTCCTTGCATACATGTTAACACATAAAGACTTTCCTTATCACTAAATATAGATCGTGATTTGATTAACGTTTAATTTGTTGAGTTGCCTCATATGGATAAATGTTTTACACATTAATCATTATACAATTAATTACGCGGCCGAGGTCAGGGCAGGTCATCGAGTGGGCCAGGTCGAGGGTCCTTATTTCACCATGTTGAACTCACAAGGGGTAATTAATTGTTTTATTATACCGATACATATTGAAAAGTATGAATTTCTAAGCGTTATCAATTCTTTCTTTGATCGGGATCGGGATTCGCTGCAGTTGCCAAGTTGTTTACATTGACGTCTGCAAGTCGTGTAAGTTTCTGCATCATGATTTACTGATTAAAACAATATTTAGTTGATAGCGACATCAGGCGCATATGCAGGAATTGAAGTTAGAGGGGGCGCCAAAAATAGGCAAGGGGTCTGGGGGCCGCCTTGAGGCCCCCAGTGGGTCCAGGGGAAAGCCCTGATGGGGGCCCAGGGGGCGAAGCCCCCGGAAGCTCCTGGGTTTTAGAGATTTTAAAGGGTAGAAATGAGGTGTACCAAGTAGACATATTTACATTTTGTAGACGAAACTGTGTTTTACGCTAACTTTGACAATTTTAGAGGGGTGGGGGCTGGTGAGCCACCCCCCCCCCCCTTAAATCCGCCACTGGACATACATTGTTATAGCTAACGATTACTTTTCCTCTATACAGTCAAAATCTAACACAGAATTCAACTCTTTAAAGAGCCGCCTTTACATTCTATTGAACTGAATATTGTAACGATATATTGAAACGATATATTCATAATATTGTGACGATAAAATTTTACCGTATTATGTATGGTAATGCAAAACAGACCAAGCACAATTTTAAAAACATGGTTTTTTCCCGAATAATTATTATTTTATGCATTAACTTTACTCAAAAACGAATTTTGATTAAGCAGTCATTTTTAGCAGTCATTAAAAATAATGGCAGGGTCATTATATCCCACGTGTAATGATTCCTAGGTCAGTATTGCTGTAAACACTACCATTTGGAGTCATTGTTGTGTCTTAAAGTTTTCTTACCAGCCAATCAAATTCGAGTATTACATGTATCAATAGAGGTATAATAAAATTTAATAAGGACCTGGCTGTTATTTATAAATATTCATAATTTTGGTGATATTTTTCAGAACAAGTTTAATTTTTGATCTTCTAATAAAATATGAATAACAATGCGATAATATGCCCTTCATATGACCGAAATGAAGTTTAATAGCTCCTGAGGCCATAAACACCTGGCAGTGCATTTTCTCCGATGATTCAAAACGTTAACCTTGTTCAACTTTTCTTAATTCTGTCTTAAGGTCTGATGACATGTTGCTCTGATATCTATGTCTCTTTGTGATGTACAACAAATTAATTTTGATTATCATTATCTTGAAAACTCTAAACTGTTAAATTCCACAATGTCAACCTTAGATAAGGACGAAATCAGAAAATGACAAATAAATACATTTGCTAAAGAACTTGTTCCATCGCCATGGTCTTTTCAACAAGCACATGTACTCGTATATAATTATAGTAGCATCTCTTAAAAGTTTTAATCCAGAACACATTAACAGATAAAACCAAATAAAAGGACATTATTCCGAACTGATAATATTTTTAATTTTGTTTTTCCCTCTCATATAATGCTTTGAATAAAACTTACCTTTTGACAATATATGAGGTAGCCAAACATTATTTCTTTTATTTTGTATATAACTTATTCTTTCAAGTATTATATATAAAGTAGAACAGTTACTTTATAAATAAGAACAATTCTATCAACTTATATCATATCTTAAAAAAAGGTGTAGCTGCTCTAAAACGTAAAAAAATGGATCAGGAAACTAACTGAAATAAAAAAAAGAAATTAGAGCAGTATAGCATACATGGTCACTTCAAGCAAGCCTTAAAGCAGAAAATAAACGGAGAGTATTTTTGTAGTATTTTTTATCTCTTCATCTTTACTTCACTATTAATAAGTAACTTGATAACAGATACCAGGCCCTTTGTCCAGGTTTGAAAAAAAATACCTATCATCTAGGGGAAAATATATGTAACTTGAAGCTGAATTTGGTAATGTACCAGTATATACATTGTTAGGGTTTGAACCTGACTGCGGACAACCATTTATAATGATATCTTACTTGAGAACCACAAGTGATATAATCATACATGTATGAGGACAACTAATTGAATGTTTAATCAAATCAAAAAAGTACAGAAGGCAATATTTTTTATTCCCTGTACAAAGTTTTAGAAGAGATCCATCTCAATCTTGTAATCTGTTTGCATTTGTATCATTCTTATAATCTTTTCATCAATTTAATACTGTATAAAAGGTTCTTGACCCTTTAATGTTTATAAAAAGGTATATAACCATCATCAAAATTGACAAAGACATGAAAAATGTTATTCCAAAAACCAGTAAGTTTCTTTTCTTATTTGTGTTCCAATAATGGATATTAGTGCTATTTTGACACCCATGTCGATTTTCTTCTACGACGTCGACAACAGAAAATAAATGGAGAATTAAAAGTATATAAAAATCGTATAGTTTTAATACGTTAATTATTATACATATATATTGTACTCAAATTATCATGTCCAAGTGATATGTATTATAAAAACGCTTTTTCTTATTGAAATATTTTAAAATCAAAATACAGAAATACAGAAGTTGTGTATCTTATCTAGTATCTACAGTATATCTTCATAATATATTGCCGTATGCAGACTTCCCTTCTAATACAAAATTGTTTTTTTAAACAAGTAAAATCCAGCCCACTTAAGATGAATAACTTTATCGCAGTCAATCAATAATCAATATCTATATTACAAATATTCTTAGCTATATACTTGTAGTTGAAGACAAGATTGTATTCGTTGATATCTTGGTTGCTAATTGGGAGGCTGGTTCAAATTTTGGCGATCCAACTGCATGAAAGACAATTCAGAAAGACAATTCTTTGAGTTTGGAAAAAAATACAGAAGGTTTTGCCAATAGAATTTCATAGTGTCAATGCTATGAAATACCGTTAAAAATATTTTTTTTTTCTGCTCTTATTCTTCAGATGATCAAGTTTTACCTTCACATCCCGTTGAAGAATTGCAAAATTTTTCTTCACAAGTGCAGAATTCCTGACATAAATATCCATATGAAGGATAGCGACATGGAAGCTCACAATAGGAACCAGTGAATCCAAGGTCGCAATCTAAAGGTAGGGAAGTCAAGATAATTTTTGAATGCCTTTTTTTTCAAAAATACTTACAAAAGTATGTTGATTTTTTCATTAAACAATATAAGAAATTATTATAAAGTCTATTTATAGTCCTTATATAATCTATACCAGCGCAAACAATTCAAGACACTACATATTCACTGCATTTGAGGCCGTATTCACCAAAGGGTCAGTGCATTTGCAGCGGAATTGTGACGTCATAATCAATCGTTGCAATGGCAGCAGTAAGCTATAGTATCTTAGCAGAGATAATGTTCGACAGACCTATTGTAGGATTATTTTTCAACATTTGGACGTCTTACACATTGGGAAACTCGGAAAGGAAAACATGGACTTTACAAACTGTAATCTGGACATGTTTTTTTTTTCAACGGCAGAAAATCGCAAATGAATATGGTGTCGTCATGCAGGATTCAATGTATAAAATCAATTATGGACTCTTTTGGTATTGGAATACGGTTTGCTATTTACGAGAAAAAATATCAATATTGACCTCCATTTCGCCTCGGTCAATATTGATATTTTTTTGGTGAATTGCAAACCATATTCAACACAAAAAGAGTCCATATTTTATAATATTATTAATCAATATAAGAATATATATACCCTCAGATAACATTCTACAGCCATGTTCAGGATTGCAATCACTTTGAGAACAATTGCAAATTTGTCGACATTTTTTCCCAAATTTTGGATAAGAGCATCTCGAAGTACAATTTCCTCCAAAATATCCACTCATACACGCTAAAATAATTTGTGTTATTTCTTTAGACGTGATATTTGTTCCACAATAATAATGACTTTTTAATCAAAAGGAATATTCAGTCAATATTTTGATCCACATTTAAAAAAAGATACATAAACTATCAACTGAGTTTAAAATAAGAAAGACAAATTATTATTATAGTTATATTACTTGAAGATGAAAAGACTAAATGAATAATATTAAAAAAAGTGCTGAATAAAGAAATTCAGGACTTAAAGATAAAGTCAGTGATGAACGCATACGTATACAGCTATCACGTCCATGATCCCATATAAAACCAGAGCAACATTCACTAAAAAATAAAACAAAATCATCAGAACATCTGTTTAATATTCAAGTTATTCAAATTGGTTTTTATAACATTCTTTTAAATTTACAATTATCAAACATAAAATCACAAAAAAAATTAAAATATACAAGTTTTCTTATTTTAATCAATAAATCAATACATGTCCAGTCATACAGATACTGCTTGAATTTCAATAAGTCGTTTAATGTACTTTTTTTTAGATATGCATTTCCAGTAAACCTATTTTTTCAAATAATAAAATCTATAATTTGAACAATTAATATTTATATGCACAAGTATAATGATTAAAACAATAATTTACATTTTAGTTTCATTCAAATGAATATAACTGTAGGAAAAGGAAAACTTATTATACATACAGACATATGGTTACATTTACCTTTCGAATGAAGTTATTTTAGATTTACTCTAGCTTTAAAATGCTTGACGCCTTCTTAAAGGAGACGAGATATATTTTCAAAATACTTCTTTTTTCAAATATTGCAATTTAGATACTTACTTTCCACACCACGTTGCTCTGGTATAGATGAACAAAGATACTATTGTCAAAAACACCTGAATATTTCCACAAAAAATATTTAATATCTTTGTAGACATTGTTTCACTGTTCGCAATCCATGTACATGTATATTTAATACAATGATAATCAGTATGGTTAATTCAGATGATCTCCACTCCGCACTTTTCTTCAAGGAAGGTGCAGATAAGTGCATAAAAATCAAAATCCATTTTTCAAGAGTGAGCGGATTTTGCCCAAATCTAAAGAGTGAGTTAGTACTCAAAATATAGAACGATCAGGACGTAAAAAATCAAATATCCGCTTTAACAACACTTAGAAGTAATTGAAAGGATGCTGTTGATCACACCTGTTGATATTGTCAGAAAACGCCTTGGTTTAAAATTTTCCCCCTTTTCATGAAGCTTCAGAAACTGTGAAACTGTGTACACGACAAAAAAAAATGTTTATTTTTATTTAGGGGAAGAAGGACATTTAGGCAAATGTATAGCATTTTAAAAAATATTTATATTCATAATTTACAAAATCCTTCCTTTATTCTGAGTGGTCATACCTAATTTTAGAGATTTTAATCATAAAAGATACATATAGATAATATGCCGCAGTATTTAATGCAGAGTAAAATTTCCTATAATAACGACGTCATGCCACAGAGGAGTCGATTTTCAAATACTTTATGTATTTTGATTTACAATCAATAAATGCACATCAAACGATTTGCTTGGAAAAAAGATATTTTAAGTTGCCTTTTATTGACATGTGCATTACACATAATTCGAACTTTGTGTTAATAGTCACGGTCAATGCCAGTAATTCTCATTACCAGCTGTATTTTCAACAATGTTTTTGAAGAATTGGCAAAGAAAAAAATAGCAAAAATAAAACAAACAACCACCAATTTCTTAATAAAAAATTGTCAGGAAAAAATATCAAAAGCACTTGAAAGCTATGATATCATTTAATGGCACTTTCATCAACAACGGCATCATTATGTCAGAAATTATCAAGTTCTTCAGTAAATGTTTGGATTTTCAACACATTTTTGGTACAGTAGTGACATTCAACGTTATGCCATTAGCACTATTTATAAAAGCACATATCCTTCATTGTTGAATAACTTTTCTAGAAAGGATTTATGATATATACAATGACATTTAAAATCACTCAACCTAAATAATAGCGAAACCCCTTTTAAATACAGCTGTACGCTTCAATACTGAATGTAAGCAAATTCATCAAAAAGTATTGTATACAGTTACATAAAAAGACGTTTAAAGACATATTTTATCATCTTAAGTAAGGTCAGTGAATAATGATATTTTCCTAAGATTGACCATATATCTCTACTTCACAAACTTGAAGGAAGTCGGGTTGTCCATCTTTTGATAAAATAGAAATAATAACTTCACTCCCTCTCGTCTCCTTTTCACACAGAAACAGGATACGGTCTCCATTGGCGGCTGGTACGGGATAGAAACCACACGAAACATTATGTCCATTTTCGGTGACATCTACGCGTACATCATATAGTCTTTCTCCTGTAAAAAGAATGATAAAACAAACAGAATTTTAGAAGAGAAAGCATAAAATTTTGCACAAAAATAAAAAGGATCATGCATATGCATATTAAAGTTTTTTTCTCGTGTCATTCATACATAGCTTTGGTCTAAAAAGATTTTGAGTTTTTTTATGCATTCATCCAGCAATTTGCACATTTTGGCTACAATTCTCACATGATAGTAATAGCTTCAAGATAAAATATATAACTTCTCACGCCGACTATCTGAAATACATTGTCGTCAGTATTTAACTATTTCTTACCACAGCAGTCTTGCCTATTGTAAATCAAAACTCTATCCACAGTGCTAGTGTTGTTTCGATTGACTTTCAACCAGGGATTGGTCTGATTTTCAGTGCAAGCTAAGTTCCGATCAACTCCTGTCAAGCATTCTGTTATTCCATCTACTGCATATGATGCATTAAATATTCTACCATACACTGAACTTAAACTTGCCGTCATAGCCACTTTTTCTTAAATGAAAATCAGTGACATTAGTTAAAGAAATTAGAAACATGCATTGTCAGTAACTCAACTAACACTTCATAAGTATACATGTATCTGTTTAAAAATCAATTTGAACAAAGATGATTTTGAATGAATTTTCCATAAAATATGAACTCAGCTAAGTTGACCGATATGTAAAATTTGATTTTAGCACCGTTTTCATGTGTAATTCCCTTTTAATAAGTTGAAACAAAGTAACTGAAAACATGTAGAAAATGTAATATAACTATTTATAATGGATAGGGCTGGGCCGCACAGAGTTCCAGTTCTATCATATGTATCAGCTGTTTGTCACTTGACTAGTATAAAAATAGAATTGTTAAGCTGAATGCAGGAAATGAGGATAGTGCAAGGGCATAAATTTGTTTTTTTAATTTAAAAAAACAGACACATTAAAAGATGTTTACTTTGTTTACCCAAAAACGCTGGAAGCTAGTATGTGATGTTTGGGAAGTACTGACATTTATGCCCTACGATAGCTAAAAAATTCCCTTCGTTTAAATTCTGTTAAAAAGATAAAATATTTATACATACTGTTAACTGCAGACCAGGATCCGCTCCCAGCACTTTTCAAAATATGCACTTTGTAAGCAATAGATATTCCATATTTCAGCAAAAACAAAATAGTCTATGCCCTTGCATCTTTGATGTAAATCACAAATACTCTTATCATTCTAGCGATATTCTCTTCATTCCTTGTCCCTGTGCATATACATTATATTTGATAAATTATCGATTTTTTTTTTTAGTTTTTATGATCAGGTAAAAAATATTGCGATGATTTCATATTCATTCAAGCATTTTTGTATTAAACCAGTGAATCTAGTCCTCTGGGTTATTTGTTCTGCATCATTTTATGGCTTGTGACGTCAGTTTTGATGAGCTATGTCCTCTACTGCTCGACTCTATTGATATCAAGTATTGTAATTTTATAAAATTTTACACATAATTAATAAAATAAATGAATTCAAGTTGTTATTTGCTAACAATCATGTTGTAAATTTGATGTTTGTGGCTCTTCAAATTTTTCATGAGGTTTCAATTAAACTTCTTATACGGTCCACCTCGAATTTTAACCTTGATCTTTCTTAACATAGCTTAGAATGTAAAAACTATGATACATACATAATCTGTGTATTTTAAGTGATTTTAGATAAATTGTGCCTTTGTATATATGTGCACGTGAATTCTTGAACAAGCTTCAGACAATGTTGGAAGTAAACTCAAGTAAATATAGTATCATTTTTACCCTTGAAAATGTCACCAGAATAAAACTAGATGCTGTCATGAGACAGTAATACCCGCACTATGGTGTTTGCCTCTAAATATACACTCATTCATATTGGACTTTCCAAGGAAGAAGTCAAAATAATTCTATAATTATCACCGTACATGTATTCGTCAAATTGAACATAAAATTTTCAGATGACCATATCAACTCTGAGCCTCACATATGTATTTTAAAATACTTAATTCATAACCAGTCTGAAATAACAGAATTTAATTAATGATTGAAGTAAATTACTTAATTAGATTCAAATAAATAATTTTCCCATAATTTGGAACTTTTTAAATTTACTTTCTCAACGACATAAAATATTATTTTAGTACAAAGCGTTTTTGATGAATTTATCAAAATGTGCAAACTGATTTTAGTATTTGGTCGGGAAAAAAACCCATTGAAAATACAACCCGATTAATTTGTAAATGCCTACCCCCCCCCCCCCCCCCACACACACACACACACACTCTCTCTCTCACCCTCACATTTTTTAAAAAACATAGTTTAGTTTATTATGATAGTTTGAAATTTGTTCTTGTACTAAACAGTTTTATTTTCTACATTCACATTGGGTTTGCGTCACCCATTATCATATTTATAGATATCACCTCTCGGCACACCTCGGCCAATTCATACTGGCAACGGAATCAGCAAAGGTTTGTCGAATGAGATTATTTAGCACATGTATGCTGATGATGCAGTGTGGTCAGTTAAAATCATTTGTGTTTTAATTGGATTATATGGATTATATTTCATGAATTCGTTGTCACGACCTATGACATTCGGTAAGTACAAGATTTAGTATAGATTGCATAAAAATAAATAAATGCAAATGGTTAGGTTGAAGTTCAAAAAGGGTCAACATGGTCAAAGATCATCGCATGCCACAGTCGACAAATTTCACATTGTCAAGTTATCTCCCGTTGCGGACATTCAGTATATAACAGACGCAGATCCAGAATTTTTTTTTTCAGAAAGGGGGGGGGGGGTGTCACACCTCAGTCAAAAAAATCAGCCCAAGATTTCCTGAGATGGAAATAAAAAATAATAATAAAAACAATGATGGTGGAGTCCCTGTTTTCTAAGGGGGAGGATGTCCAAAGTCATTTTTATTCTCTACAGTACATATATAGTCTTATTTAAATAACTGTTAATTCCAGGGGGGGGGGTCTGATCTCCATAGCCACTGACTCCCTGTACCTGAAATGACAATTGATCTTATGACTCCATAATAGTAGAAAATTTTTTCATTTGACCATTTATACATATTTTGTTTCCTATGTTTATGTATTTTTGTCTGTCCACGGAAACTTTAACCTTGCCCATATTTTTTAAGTGGATTGGGCTATACACATGGCTTCAGTATTTCATAGGTAAATTTCTTTTGGCAAAACCTTTTAATGGGTACCACCAATTTTGACCTCTTGATCTCTTGACCTTGGAGTTTGACCCAATTTTACAAGAAAAATACCTTGAACTTGGGGTAAGTTTTGAACAGGTGGTGCTAGGACTTTCATGCTCTTACATGTGTAATCATTGTGAACTTTCAACAGGTATAATTATTTTTGACCTAGACTTTAGAGTTGAATCCAATTTAACTTTAACCTTAGCAATAACTTTTGAACAGGTGAGGAAGTTCTAGGGATTTCTCCCTTTTTTCACATGTGTATTCCTTGTGACAAGACTTTCCCTTTGATACCAACAATTTAGACCCTTTGACCTTGACCTTGGAGTTTGACTTACATTTGAGAAACTTCAACCTTTGCCAAAAGCTGTCATAACAGTTGCTGTCACAACAAACAAACAAATTACTAAAAAAAACACAGAATACATGTACATATTTTATATTCAACAGATATACATCTGATCATATCTCTAGTTCTCCCTTGAATGAGACATGGTGATATAAATTTTAAAAAATAATTATAAGAGTTGAAAAGGTTGTGCATATTGAAATATACTAAGCTCTGCGGATGAATTAGATATACCAGTTTAGCTTTATTTTGCTACCCAAAGCACCTTGATTAACTATTTATAAGCATACTGTTTTCTGAAATGTACTGATTTCTGTTGTCCATCTGTTTATCTGCAAACTTTTCACATTAACTTCTTAAGAACCACTGGGCTAATTTCAACCAATTTACATTTAAATATGCAGGGTACTTTTTAAGCGCCCGGATCGATAGATCCCGGGCGTATATTGTTTTTGTCCTGTCTGTCTGTTTGTCTGTTTATCTGTTTGTCTGTTTGTCAACTTTAACCTTGGCCATAACTTTTGAACAATAAGGGATAGAGACTTCATATTTGGTAAGCATACTCCACTAATAAAGTCCTTTCAAATGACTTCAAGGTCAATGACCTTGTGACCTTGACTAAGACTTATATGCTAAAAATAGCTTTTTCCACTGTTTGTCATAACTTTTGAACCATAGGAGATAGGGACTTCATATTTGGTATGCATACTCCACTAATAGAGTCCTTTCAAATGACATCAAGGTCAATGATCTTGTGACCTTGACTGTGACCTATATGCTAAAAATAGCTTTTTACACTTTTTGCCATAACTTTTGAACCATCAGAGATAAGGACTTCATATTTGGTATGCATACTCCACCAATTAAGTTCTTTCAAATGACACCATGGTCAATGACTTTGTGACCTTGACTGTGACCTATATTCTAAAAATAGCTTTTTACACTTTTTGCCATAACTTTTGAACCATCAGAGATAAGGACTTCATATTTGGTATGCATACTCCACCGATTAAGTTCTTTCAAATGACACCATGGTCAATGACTTTGTGACCTTGACTGTGACCTATATTCTAAAAATAGCTTTTTCCACTGTTTGTCATAACTTTTGAACCAAAGGAGATAGGGACTTTATATTTGGTATGCATACTCCACCGATAAAGTCCTTTCCAATGACGGCAAGGTCAATGATCTTGTGACCTTGACTGTGACGGATATGCTAAAAATAGCTCTTTACACTTTTTGCCACAACTTTTGAACCATAGGAGATAGGGACTTCATATTTAGTACGCATACTCCACTGATTAAGTTCTTTCGAATGACACCATGGTCAATGACCTTGTGACCTTGACTGTGATCAGTATGCTAAAAGAAGATTTTTTTAACTTTGTTGCCGCCGGGCGCGTAGTGTTTCACAAACACATCTTGTTCCAACATAAATCTTCTTCTCAAAAACAGCAAAGACATTTATTGTCCCCATTTTTGCTAAAGGTAGGGTACATTAAATCTCATTTGTTTGTCAATCTGCCCATCTGTCACAATAAATTTAACCTTGGTCATCATGGTCGTATATTTTGAATGAGAAGAGATAGGACTTTTATATTAAACATGTGTATTAGTATTAAATGGGACAATACCATTCTACATACACTATGATTTTCATTACCCATGATCTTGAAGTTTGACCTAATTTCCTTAAAAAAATTAATTGCTTTGAATTGATCATTTTGAAAGATAAATGAAAGGGCATTCATATTACCTGTGATAAGACCTTCCAAAATGTATCATGACTTTTTGACTCTGTGACCTTGACCTTGAAGTTTAACTTAGTTTTCATTAATGTTGTATTTCCTTTTCATTGAGAAGAGATTTGACTTTCACATTTCAAGTGAACATTACCCATAACAAGAGGCTCCCAACATGCTATGATTTTTTACCCCTTGACCTTGATGTTTTAACAAAATTTCAAAAGAGTGAACTCTCCCAAAAGATGATAAGACCACTGTTTAAAACAAAAAAAGGAGTGCTGAATAAAATGTAAGAGGAGTTCAGGGAAGATGGGGCTTTTTCCATAAAAAAACATCATTTTTCGACCCTTATTTGACCCCCCGGGGCAAAATCAAAACTCCGAAACCTAACTGCACATCTGCAGGACCCCACCAACCATCTCCCAAAAGCTGGTTAGGCTACTGAGTAAAATGTAGAAGGAGTTCAGGGAAGACGGGGCTTTTTGGACAAAAAACGTCATTTTTCGACCCCCATTTGACCCCCCTGGGCAAAATCGAAATTCCAAAACCTTACTGCACATCTACATGACCCCACCAACCATCTCCCAAAAGATGATTAGGCTACTGAGTAAAATGTAAGAGGAGTTCAGGGAAGACAGAACTTTTTGCTTAAAAAACGTCATTTTTCGACCCCCATTTGACCCCCTGGGGCAAAATCAAAATTCCGAAAGCTTACTGCACATCTACATGACCCCACCAACCATCTCCCAAAAGCTGGTTAGGCTACTGAGTAAAATGTAGAAGGAGTTCAGGGAAGACGGGGCTTTTTGGACAAAAAACGTCATTTTTCGACCCCCATTTGACCCCCCGGGGCAAAATCGAAATTCCAAAACCTTACTGCACATCTACATGACCCCACCAACCATCTCTCAAAAGATGATTAGGCTACTGAGTAAAATGTAAGAAGAGTTCAGGAAAGACGGAGCTTTTTGGTTAAAAAACGTCATTTTTCGACCCCCATTTGACCCCCTGGGGCAAAATCAAAATTCCGAAAGCTTACTGCACATCTACATGACCCCACCAACCATCTCCCAAAAGCTGGTTAGGCTACTGAGTAAAATGTAGAAGGAGTTCAGGGAAGACGGGGCTTTTTGGACAAAAAAACGTCATTTTTCAACCCCCATTTGACCCCCCGGGGCAAAATCGAAATTCCAAAACCTTACTGCACATCTATATGACCCCACCAACCATCTCCCAAAAGCTGGTTAGGCTACTGAGTAAAATGTAAGAGGAGTTCAGGGAAGACGGAGCTTTTTGCTTAAAAAACGTCATTTTTCGACCCCCATTTGACCCCCTGGGGCAAAATCAAAATTCCAAAAGCTTACTGCACATCTACATGACCCCACCAACCATCTCCCAAAAGCTGGTTAGGCTACTGAGTAAAATGTAGAAAGAGTTCAGGGAAGACGGGGCTTTTTGGACAAAAAACGTCATTTTTCGACCCCCATTTGACCCCCTGGGGCAAAATCAAAATTCCGAAAGCTTACTGCACATCTACATGACCCCACCAACCATCTCCCAAAAGCTGGTTAGGCTACTGAGTAAAATGTAAGAGGAGTTCAGGGAAGACGGAGCTTTTTGCTTAAAAAACGTCATTTTTCGACCCCCATTTGACCCCCTGGGGCAAAATCAAAATTCCGAAAGCTTACTGCACATCTACATGACCCCACCAACCATCTCCCAAAAGCTTGTTAGGCTACTGAGTAAAATGTAGAAGGAGTTCAGGGAAGACGGGGCTTTTTGGACAAAAAACGTCATTTTTCGACCCCCATTTGACCCCCCGGGGCAAAATCGAAATTCCAAACCTTACTGCACATCTACATGACCCCACAAACCATCTCCCAAAAGATGATTAAGCTACTGTGTAAAATGTAGGAGGAGTTCAGGGAAGAAAAGTGTGACAAACGGACGGACGGACGGACAGACGGACATGAGTAACAACAATATACCCGAACTTTCTTTAGAAAGTGCGGGTATAATTATGTTCTCTTTTATTTGTGCGCAAGTGCATTCATTGGTTTGTTTTAGAAACGTTCGTTTTGCACATTTGTGTATTGTTCAACTGAAAGATAATCTTTTATTGATGAACATACAAACCCAAATAGGTTTACCAGAAAAATTATACAAATGCTGAATGACATTTTTCAAACTAATTGTTTGTTATTATTTATACATTGAATTGACGATGGATTTTCCCGTTATTTCCCGATCATGACAAGGAGCACACGGCGGGTGTGACCGGTCAGCAGGGGATACTCACTCCTCCATGGCACCTGTTCCCACCTCTGATGTCAAAATACGTCCGGCGACGTCACTTCCGGCCAAACCGGAAGTAGTCGGAAAACGCGTATTTTTTCCCTTCTTGACAAGTTTTTGGGTAACATCTGTCACTGGAAGCATAAAAATAAATTTTGCGTCCATCGTCATCACTTCCGGTCAAACCGGAAGTAGCAAAAAGGCTTATTTTTGCATTAATAAACATAGATTTAGAGGATTTAAACTATTTTCAGATGCTTTTACAATTTTTGTAATAAATGAAAGTTACTTCCGGTCAAACAGGACGGGAGACCTACTGTTTCTACGCAACGAGCTTTGTTTTAGTTATTATTATTATTATTATTTTGTAAATAAATTTGTTAAACATATTTGAACTTGTGTGATTCTTGGAGTTAGCCAGCTTGACCACCATTGGAACACCATTAAGTTGCAGCAGTTGTTTTACTGGGCACTTCACCGCTAGGTGGCAGCTTTTATCAAAACAGTGCATTCTAAACAGAATTGAGAAAAGATGTTTGATCTTTAAATTTCACCTCCCTGCCTAATCAGCAATGGTTAGTTGGAGTATTGTGTTCATGTATATGTTTTATTTTGTACTTTGAGTAGTTGAGTCATTTTTTGTGTTTTGTTTTTATTACTTTTACTGTGGTATGTTTTGATAAGTTGAGCATGTTTATGTTTTATTTTATACTTTGAGTAGTCTAGTCATTTTCTTTTATCAATTTCAACTAATGTAATTTTATTATTTTTATTGTAGTATGTTATGATAAGTTGTGCATGTTTATGTTTTAATTTATACTTTGAGTAGTCTAGTCATTTTTATCAATTTTCACTAGTGTGATTTTATTATTGTTATTGTGTATGTTTGATAAGTTGAGCATGTTCATGTTTTAGTTTATACTTTGAGTTGTCTAGTCAATTTTATTATTACTTTTTTAAATCAATCTTAACAAATGTGATTTTATTATTCATAGTGTAGTATTTTTGATAGATTGGGCATTTCTCCATAACATTTTTGTAAGTGTAGTGTTTGATGTTATAATGCTTTTGGTTTTTGTCGTGCCATGCAGAAGTTGATACCTCACCTTTTATTTTTAGGGACACAATTTTATCTATAATTCTACCACGATTATTGTAAACATCAAAGGAAACCGCCGGACATTATTCTCCAATAAATCACGAACGTCATCAAAAAATTATCAGATCAGAAACACGTATCAAATCTTAACAATTCAAATGCATGTTTGGCTGTAGAATGAAATACTTGTTTAGACCGCATCGATGTGTCGTCTTTTGCAGTATAAACACTGTAAATTGCACCAAGTTGCTGATGAATGTCGGTTTTTATAGCTAAGCGGGGCTATTCCCCAGACCTCCCTACACATTAAACAACGTGATTTTAGCAGTAAAACAGGAACATAATTTTGTTATTGTATATTCATTTTAACTGATCAATACATATTTGTAATTTAAAAAGGCTATTTTTAATGTAACGAAAGCTTAAATCGTCTGCATTCTATACACAGGTAAGCAAATAAATTTTACCTCTGGTGTTAAATGAAACAGCGTAATCGAGACATGGTGACCTAATTCGTTTCTCTATAGAGGAAACGATTATCTTTAATTTAGCGTTTGTACCATACATGATAGAATAGAAATAAAGTCCTTGTTGTCGTGAATGATGCAGAATAACCTCCTCGGTCTAGAAATGTTGTTTGAAATATAAAAGCCTCGGCTAGCGCCTCGGCTTTTATCTTTCAAACAACATTTCTCGACCTCGGAGGTTATTCTGCAACATTCACGAAAACGCGGACTTTATTTCTTAAGTAATTAGCATATGTTTTGTATTAATTTTTTATATTGTACATATGCTATGTATATGAAAAAGTTGATCGTCATTTTGATAATAAATGACCAATTTCGATTGTAATACATGTATGTGTTCGAGTTTAATTAATTGAAAATCAAACGGAGCAGAATCATTCTGAGAAAAAGAGTTGACAAAAATATTGTTATGGTTTGTATCTGATTTCGGACAATCATTTATAATAAAACCAAAAGTGAGAACCACAAGTGGTGTAATCATATTCATACATGTATGAGGACAACTAATTGAATATTCAATCAAATTAAAAAATACACACTCAACTCAATTTCCTGTACAAAGTTTCAGAAGAGATCCATCTCAATTTTGTAATCTGCTTGCATTTGTATCATTCTTATAATCTTTTCATCAATATAATAGCGTATAAAAGATTCTTGACCCTTTTATGTTTATAAAAAGGTATATAACCATCATCGAAATTGACAAAGACATTAAAAATGCTATTCCAAAGATCAGTAAGTTTCTTTTCTTTTGTATGTTCCAATCACGGATATTAGTATTATTTTGGCACCAATGTCGATTTCCATCTACGACGTCGACAACTGAAAATAAATGAGAATTAAAAGTATACGAAAATCATATTGTTTTGATACGTTTATTGTTATGCATGAACATGTATATATTGTACTCAAGTTATCATATCCCAGTGATATGTTCTATAAAAATGCTTTTTCTTATTGAAATATTTAAAATCAAACTACAGAAATTGTTTATCTTTTCTACAATACATCTTCAGAATATCCTGCAGTATGCAGACTTCCCTTCGAATGCAAAATTGTTTTTTTCTAAAACAAGTACAATCCAGCTATCTTCAGATAAATAACTTTATCGCAGTCAATCAGTATTCAATATTTATATTTACATTTATCCCGAGAACGAATAAAACAAATATAAAGAAATATTTTTACTTCCTGCAACTGAAAAATAAATGCATTTGTGTAAATATACCTGAATTAGATGACAACACTCTTAGTGTTGATTTCTCTGTTTGTGATGGAGATAGTTGTTCAATAGTTGAAGACACAGCTAAAGCAAAGATAATGTTGAGTAGGGTTTTTAAACAGAATTAATTGATTGAATGTTGTTTCATGTCTCGTTTTCAATCAAATGGATACATGAACGTCACCATATACCGATAAAAGGCTGCAAATTGAGATCTGTACTCGGTAATCAGGGCCAATAAGCATTAAGTGTACTTTATCATGTTGCCTCCTACTGAAACATGAGACCAAAGATCTCAACCAAAGGAGCCCAATATTAATTTCATAGTTATGTGTGCTTCAAAAAAGAAACAGTTACTACAATTTTGTAATCGAAGGTTTGTCGCAGCCGTGCACGAGATTAAAACAACGTGCAAGTACTCCGATCAGAGAGCGAGCAGTCAACTGACTTAGCTATAGTAGCATCATCTTTTTTTAATGAAAAATCTTATCAATAAAAAAATGAGGTACATGTATATAAACAAAATAAAGTATGTTATTCAAATTTGACATATTTCATAAATTATAACCGAGTTTATTCTACCCTGATGATGCATTTTACCTTTACATCCAGTGGAGAAATCACACAACTTCTGTTCACAGTTACAGGATTTCTGACATAAATGTCCATAGGAGGGATAGCGGCATAAAATGTTGCAGTAGTGCCCAACAAAACCAGTGTAACAATCTAGAAGAAATTGTAAAGAGAGAAAATGCTAGAATTCTCTTTTTGTTTCGACAAGAAGTTAATAAATAAATGGTAAACTCAATTCTATTCACAAGGTTGATGGCTGTAATGATATTTTAAAGCAACGAAATTATCATTGATATTATTTTTCGTAGACACAGACAGAACGAATACGAAACTATAACTGCGTATCCGTACGTGTCCAACAGTTAAAAAGAAGACGTTAATTTATTTGCAATGGAATATTTCGTCTGAAAGCTGATATTCTTAGCAAATTACTTGTAGTTGTTGATAATATTGTATTCGTTGATTTCTTGGTTGTTGATTTGGAGGGTGGTTCAAATGTTGGAGATCCAACTGCATGTAAGGAAATTCAGATAAGATACATGTATATTCTTTGAATTTGGATAATTAAAGAAATTTATTTTTAGCACATAAAATTGAATAATGCCAATGCTATGAAATGCAATTAAAAGGAATACGTTATTTTTTAGCTTTTCTCATTTAGTTCAGTTCAGATGATCAAGTTTTACCTTCACATCCAGTTGAAGGATTACAACATTTTTCTTCACAATTGCAGAACTCCTGACAAAAATATCCATATGCAGGATAGCGACATGGAATTTCACATGAGGGCCCAGTGTATCCAAGGTCGCAATCTAATAAGACGAAGTCAATATAAATTTTAATTGTTTTTTTTATTTCTTTAAAAAAGTATGTTGAATTTTTTTATGAAACAATATGAGAATATATATACCCTTAGATAACATTCTACAGCCATGTTTATAATTGCAATCACGTTGAGAACAGTTGCACATTTGCCGACAATCTTTTCCAAAATATGGATAAGAGCATCTAAAGGTACAATTTCTTCCATAATATCCGTTCTTACATGCTACAAAAATTTTTATCAACTTCACATGCTTATTAGGAACTTTAGAAAATGTATTTTTAAAGAGTAAGTTACAGTTAGGCATTCAAAATAAAGTTATTTTTATTGTTTCCTTTGACGTTTTCAACGGCAATGCATTTTTCATCGATAAGAATATTGTGTTACATGTAATAAACGATATTTGTAATACTTAAACCATCAATTGGATTTGAAATAGTACCTGTAAGGACGAATTTTTATTTAAGCGATATTACTTGAAGATGAAAAGACTAAATGAATATTCTAGATATTATTTATAAATGCTGAATGATGCAATTCTGGATTTTTGGATAAAGACAATGATGAAAACATACGTATACAGGTACCATGTCCATCATCTCAAATAAAACCAGAGCAACATTCACTAGAAATAATTAAAAAGGTTATCAGATCACCTGTTTAATTATTAATATTCAACGTATTCAAAGAGGTATGAAAAATATTCAGTTAAATTTACAAATATTTAACATAAAGTTAAAATAATAATTGAAAATATAAATGTTTCATTCCTTTATTTTCAAAGAAATTCATGTCAATTCATATATTTACTGCTAATTTCAATGCAATCTTTGAGTGTACTTTGCATTTTTCTTTTTAAAGATGTACTTCCACTTAACCTGAATGTAAACCTAATATCTAAACAGTATGTATTTCTATGCATAAATATAATGATTTAAACAATAAAAAAATATTCATGCAAGTTTTCTTTAGACGAAAGATTACCTATTTTACATGTATTTTACATGAATTCATTTAAGATTTTCTCTAGCATGACAATGCTCAACTCCTTCAAATATTGGAATTTAGATACTTACTTTCCACACCACATTGCCCTGGTGTGGCTTTGCAGATAAAATATTGTCAAAAACACGTAAATCTTTCCATACCAATTTTGTAATATGTTTGTAGACATTTTTTTTCATTTTCACGTTCACCTTCTAATTTATATAATTATAATCATTATGCTTAATTCAGATACATGTACTCTCATTCCCGCACTTCTCATCAAAGAAGGTGCAGATATATACAGAAAAATCAAAATCCATTTGTTCAAGAGTGAACAATTGTTGCTCAAATTTAAAGAGTGAGTAAGTGCTAAACATACAGAACGATCAGGGCGTAAAAGTTCAAATATCCAATTCAAATGACACTTAGAAGTAATTGAAAGGATGCTGTTGATCACACCTGTTGATATTGTCAGAAAACGCATTGGTATAAAGGGGGGGGGGTACTATAGTTTTATTGTGTGAAAACTACAATAGCAAAACTCTTCATTTTTATACCATATATAACTTACATTATCTTCAGTTTACATGCAAAGTTTGGGTAAAATATACCGTCCAGGTATTTTTGAGGGACCATCTCAAAATACAGGTACATTTACTATAGGATTATATATATGATTAGGAAAATGCCAATTTTCAGCACTTTAAAGCAAATTATACAAATACTACAATAGACATTTTGTTCAAACTATAATATGTGATAAGTAATACTATATTATACAATATATATAACAAACACAAAATTCTTGTTACCAGAGGGAGCATCTCAAAATGCAAAAAATTAGCAAATTTTACTATTTTTATAGAGTACTACAAAATATGACGTACACAATGGATTCACATAAAACATAATAAAAATATTGGAGATATACTCAAATTTCTATGTTTTGAATTTCAAGAGCGTATTTTACTTTTTCTTTAATATTATTTTTAATACCCCTTACTTTAAGAGGTACAGATTATCATCACGTCAAAAACACACTGCAACGACGTAAATCTACCTATCAATTGCAAAATTGGTTTAAAAAATCAGTTATATCAAATTTTGTTACATTTTAATACGTATAATTTCTTAATTTTCTTTAATTGTAATAATTAAGCGAAAAAAGTTCCATTTAAACAGTAAAAACGCTTCATTTTTCTATGATGCACGAAATATTGAGCAATGAAAACTATAGTCGGCCCCCTTAAAACGTTTCTCCCATTTCATGAAACTTTAGAAACTGTGTACACGGTAAAAAAATGTTTATTTTTATTAAAGGGAAGAAGGACATTCAGGCAAAATATATTCGATAAAAAAATCGTTTATATTCATTTTTCAGCAAATTCCTTCCTTTATTCCGAGGAGAAATACCTAATTTTAGAGATATTGATCATAAAAGGTACATATAGATACTATGCCGCAGTATCTAATGCAGAATAAAACTTCCTGTAGTAACGATGCCATACCATCGAGGAGTCGATTTTCAAATACTTTATGTAGTTTGATTGATGATCAATAAATGTACAACAAAAGATTTGCATTGAATATATTTTAAGTTGCCTCTTATTGCCATGTCATTTATATTACACATAATTCGAATTTTGTGTCAATAGTCACTGTAAGTGCCAGTAATTTTTTCAGTACCGACTGCATTTTTAACAATGTTTTTAAATAATTGGCAAGACAAAGAAAAATAACAAAAATAAAACAAAAAATCACCAAGAAAACCATTTATTTATTATAATTTGTCAGAAAAATCTAAAAATTTCAAAAGCGCAGGAAAACTATGATATCATAAAATGACACTAGTTTCAACAACGACAACATTGTATCAGAGATTATCATATTCATCTGTTAATGTTTGATCTTACAACACATTTTTGGTGCAGAAATGACATTCAACGTTATGGCCTTAGCATTATTTATAAAAACACATATTCTTCTTTGTTTAAAAACTTTTCTAGAAAGGATTAATGATATTTACAATGACATTTAAAATCACTCAACCTAAATAATAGCGAAAAACCCTTTTAAATAGAGCTGAACGCTTCAATAGTGAATGTTAGCAATGCATCAAACAAGTATTGTATACATATATAGACGTTTAGGAACATATTTTATCATCTTAAGTAAGACCAGTGAATAATAATATTGTCCTAAGATTGACCATATATCTCTACTTCACAAACCTGAAGGAAGTCAGGTTGTCCGTCTTTTGATAATATAGAGACGGTAACTCCATTCCCTCTGGTTTCCTTTTCACACAAAAACAGGATACGGTCTCCATTGGCGGCTGGTCCGGGATAAAAACCACACGAAACAGTACGTCCATTGTCGATGACATCTACTCGTACATCATGTAGTCGTTCTCCTGTAAAAAAATGTTATAAACAAACAGAATTTTAGAAGAGAAAGCATAGAATTTTGCACAAAAATAAAAAGGATCATACATATTAAAGATTTTTCTTCTCGTTGTGTTCAAACTTTACGTTGGTCTAAAAGGATTTTGAATTTATTAATGTTTTCATTCAGCAACTTGCACATTACGCTACATTTCTCACATGATAGTAATAGCTTCAATATGAAATATACCGGTACTCAAACCGACTATCAGAAATACATTGTCATCAATATTAAACTATTTCTTACCACAGCAGTCTTGCCTATTGTAGATTAAAACTCTATCCACAGTGCTAGTGTAGTTAAGATTGACTTTCAACCAGGGATTGGTCTGATTTTTAGTGCAAGCTAAGTTCCGGTCAATTCCTGTTAAGCATTCTGTAATTCCATCTACTGCATATGATGCATTAAATATTCCACCGTACACTTAACTTAAACTCGCTGTTATCGCCACTTTTTCTTAAAAGAAAATCAGTGACATTAGTAAAAGAAATGAGTTACATACATTGTCAATAATTCAGCTAACACATTATAAGTACATGTATCTCTTAAAATATCAATTTGAACAAAGATGATTTAGGGTGAATTTTCCATAAAAAATGAACTCAGCTATGTTGACCGATATGTAAAATTTGATTTTAGAACCGTTTCAATATGTATTTCCTCTTTAATAAGTTGCAACAGAGTAACCGAATACATGAAGAAAATATAATCATATGTAATTATCCATAATGGAAAGGGCTTAGCCGCACAGAATTCCGGTAATATCAAATGTATCAGCAGTTTGTCACTTGACTACTATAAAAAAATTGTTAAGCTGAATGTAAGAAATGAGGATAGTGCAAGGGCATACGTTTCTTTTTGAAATACAAAAAAATAGTCACATTAAAAGATGTTTACTTTGTTTACCGAAAAAACGCTTGGAGCTAGTATGTAATGTTTGGAAAGTATTGACATTTATGCCGTACAATAGCTAAAAATTTCCCTTCGTTTAAATTATGTTATAAATTATAATATTTATGCATATTGATAATTGCAGACAAGGATCCGCCCCAGCACTTTTCAAAATATACATTTTTTAAGCAATAGATATTCCAAATTTGAGCTCAAATAAAGTAGTCTATGTCCTTGCACTTTTGATGTTAATCACGAATACGCTTATCATTCTTACTTATACAAATGCTGACTGACATTTTTCATACTAATTGTTAGTCCATTATTTATAAACTGAATTGACGCCGGATTTTCAATTATTTACAAATCATGACAAGGAGCGAATGACGGATGTAGCTGGTCGGCAGGAGATGCTCACTTTTCAATGGCACTGATCCCACCTCTAATGTTACGGAGGTCTGTGTTTGCTCTGCTCCTATTTTGTATTGTTTTATGGACTTTGATATTGAATACTGTTTGTTATCTCTATATTCTTAATACAATGATTTATTCATTTCGGTCCTTAAAATGAATGACAAACCACACCGGATTTGATTTCTTGCTTTTTGGTAATAATACGTTATACAATTTGAAATATTTTCAGTTTTACTCATTTTTCGAATCCAATCTTTTTAACATCTAATTTTTGCATAAGAGACATTCGTAAGATCCTATTCAATTTCAACGCATTTATCATAAGCGTTTAGATATGGAAGTAATATGCAAGATTCTTTTGGACATTGCTTACACTGAAAGGGAATTTCGCAAAAAAGATCACAAAAACATAAACGAGCGGTTTTTATTTGGATTTTTTGTCCTGGGTATATTCAAGTAAGCCTCAGTTTTATCTAGATACACGATTTTTAAACTGTTAAAAGACATTCAATAATTTGTGAGAGTTGATTTTTGAATTTGAGATTAAAACAAGCAAAAAGTTCTTCAATTAATTGCAGTACATGTATGCAATTAAAATCAGACAATATGTTTGGAATAACACTAACGGGCCTCAAACTGTCTGATATTTTTTAATACAGAACTGATTCGGCATATATCCAATACATAGTACCTTCTGTTTTTTTTTTTTTCATACCATTCATGGCGGTTTGTTCAAAATTTGCCAACACTTGCCGCAAGAGTTACCAACCATTTTTCTTTAAATGTTATAACACTTTTTAAAAATCACGTAAAATTATTTTCTTCTAATGTATACTATATAAAACAAACAGTCATATCTGGGGTGTTCAACTTTAATTACAAGCAGTTTCGTCACGGCATGGGCAAAATTTGTTCCAATCCCAAACAAAAATAAGATGGGTGTCCTCACACGTCCAGTTTAAAGAGCTCTCATATGTAAAAGATATATGGGCAAATTTTGCCAGAAGCTATTGATTCTACTATCTTCCAAGTTAAAATATTGCTGTGACGTCATGCATTTGTTCTTATTGTCTAAAAAATTACCTGTAGCGTTAGTCATCCGAAAATAATAATGACCAGTCCGATTATATATTATTGGATGGCAGTGATAACAAAATCGAGCGGTATTTAAAAAAAACAAGAAGAAGAATGAAATAAAGATTATACATGTCAAGAAACAAAAAATGTAAGGAAAAAAATTTCAGGGAAAGCAATCGCAAGAAAATCAAGTTGCTTCAAAATAACAAACCTTCCTCCACATTAATGTTTTATGATACAGCACTTTGAATAAGCAAACTTAAATCCAATTCCTGAAAAAAGGCTGTGAATCTCCTAATTTTATAAGGTTTTCTCCCCGATGGTTGCACATTAAAAACTGAAAATTTCCATTATATAAACTAAAATTTCCGCATTAAAAGTATTTCTTTTTTACTTTCCATAGTGAGGGTAATAAT